TGGAGTGTTTGGAATGTTTTCGACTTTTTAGATTATTGAATTTCTCGAGTTTCTTGCATTTCTTGTTTCCTAATTTCTTTAATGATTTGCTCTTTGGATTTTTTGGGTTTTTTTGACTGTTACCAGGGATCGTGATTTCAATAAGTAATTCTAGGTTTCTAGCAGAGTGCTTTTTCTGTTGACGTTACTATAGCAACTATTCTTAATGCCCTTGGATATTATTTGGTCAAATCCGCGCCATTATACACCAATAATAAACCAGTAAGACATAAATGTTTTCAAAATAACCCAAAAAAAAAACACGAAAAAGAAAATTTGTTCAAAACTCCAGAAAAGTGTATAAACTGGAAAATTGCACATTCCTTTATTGGTTGCATTTACTCCAGAGGAATAAATTTATTTCCTCTGAATTTGAAAATCGGATTTTTTGATTTTTCGGATATTCGATTTTTTCAATATTTTGAATTATTGGATTTATTGACTTTCTTGGGTTTTTTGGATTTTTTTAAATGTTCCAATTTTTAATTTTTTTTGGGTTTCTGAAATTTTGATTTTCGGGATATTTCCGATTTTTGAATTTTTAGATTTTTTGAAGTTTTGAGTTTTTTTGAGGTCCTTGGGTTTCTTGGATTTTTTTTGACTTTTTGGATTATTGTATTTCCTGAGTTTCTAGCATTTCTCCGATTTTTGTCTTTTTTTGAGATTTTTGGCTTTTTGGATTTCATATATTTTATATTTTGTCTTTTTTTCATAACATACGTAGTCATTTTTTCACAACTAAAATTTATATTAAGAAAAAGGCATAATATAAACCCCGCCCACCCGCCTTATCCCAATCCTGATGATTTTTTTTTATTCGCCGTGAGTCAAAAGGGCGGAGCTACAATACTATGTATATTAAATAAAAATTAGAACCAGATTTAGATCGACACGAATGGGTGGGGCTTATCTTTTGGCCTTCTTTTTTATTTAATACAATAGTTTGCTTTGAACACGATTACTCAAGAACATGTTTCACATAGCAATTTCTCGTAGGAAAACAAGGATTTTGCAATTAAGCTCCGCCCCATGACTTCCGACGGGTAAAAAAAAATCATCACGATTGAGACAGGGCGGGTGGGTGGGGCTTATATTATTCCTTTGTTTCATAATACACGCAGTAATGTTTTAAATTTTTGTTGTGAAAAGATGACTGACTATGTTAAGAAAACAAAAAGGCAAAATATAAGCCCCGCCCACCCACCCTACCTCGATTGGGATGTTTTTTTTTATTCGTCGTGAGCCAAGAGGGCGAAGTTTAATTGCAAAAACCTTATTTCTTTACACGTAAGACATGTTTTTGAGTATCGTGTTGTTAAAAAAATACTATGTATATATTTTTTTATTTTATTTTATCGATATCGGTGTAATCTCTTAAATTTGGTTTTAGTCTCTCTTTTGTTCCACTTCGGGTTCGCTTTCGTTCATTCACTCTCTATTCTCCTTTTCAGAATCTATTTTCCCTGCATTTTTCGTCTTTACCTAGTTTTACTGTTTTTTTTTAGTTTTTCTGTCTCACCTGCCTTAGCCTCTCTAGAGCACTCGGTTCTCTTTTTTTTTCTTTCCGATATCAACTTTCTCTAGTATCTTTTTGTATCTCTTCTTTTCTCGTTTTTTTTTTCCCTAAATTTCTTTTATGTTTCTTCTCTCTTTTAAGTGACCATATAAAATAGTTATTTATGTATCAAACATTTACTTCAGAAGTACTAACTTATTTCCATGGATTTTTTGAATGTTGGATTTTTTAGTTTTTCCATTTTTTGTATTTTTTGGATTCTTGGAATTATTGGATTTCTTGAGTTTCCTTGGTTTTTTGGATTGTTCGGTTTTCTGGATTTTTTTGTATTTAATCCATTTTTTTGATTATCTGTATAATTTGTATTTTTCCTTTTTTTCTCATTTTCTGATTTTTGGAGTGTTTGGAATGTTTTCGACTTTTTAGATTATTGAATTTCTCGAGTTTCTTGCATTTCTTGTTTCTTAATTTCTTTAATGATTTGCTCTTTGGATTTTTTGGGTTTTTTTTTATCGTTACCAGAGATCGTGATTTCAATAAGTAATTCTTGGTTTCTAGCCGAGTGCGTTTTCTGTTGACGTTACTATAGCAACTATTCTTAATGCCCTTGGGTATTATTTGGTCAAATCCACGCCATTATACACCAATAATAAACCAGTAAGACATAACAAATTGCACATTCTTTTATTGCTGGTATTTACTCCAGAAGAGTTAATTTATTTTCTTTGATTTTGAAAATCAGATTTTTTGATTTGTCGGATATTCGATTTTTTTTTTATTTTGAATTATTGCATTTCTTGAGTATCTTGGGTTTTTTGAATTTTATTAATTGTTCCAATTTTTTTAACTTTTTGGGTTTTTTTGTTTGTAGAATTATCCATTTTTTTTCTATTATTTAGATAACTTCTGTTTTTTTTTTCGTTTTCTGAAATTTTGATTTTCGGGATATTTCCGATTTTTCAATTTTTAGATTTTTTGAAGTTTTGATTTTTTTTTTGAGGTCCTTGGGTTTCTTGGATTTTTTACTTTTTTTGGATTATTATAAATTTGTTAGATATTTTCGACTTTTTGGATTATTGTATTTCTTGAGTTTCTAGCATTTCTCTGATTTTTGTCTTTTTGGAGATTTTTTGCTTTTTGGATTTCATATATATTATATTTTGTTTTTTTTTCTTAATATACGTAGTCATTTTTTCACAAAAATCCGTATCTCAATCGTGATAAATTTTTTTATTCGTCGTGAGCCAAAAGGGCGGAGCTAATATACCATGTATATTAAATAAAAATTAAAGCCAGATTTAGATCGACACGAATGGGTGGGGCTTATCTATTGCCTTTCTTTTTTTATAATACATATAATTTGCTTTGAACAGGATTACTTAAGAATTTGTTTCACATAGCAATTTCTCCTAGGAAAACAAGGATTTTGCAATTAAGCTCCGCCCCACGACTTACGACGGGTAAAAAAAATCATCCCGATTGAGACAGGGCGGGTGGGTGGGGCTTATATTATTCCTTTGTTTCATAATACACGTAGTAATGTTTTAAATTTCGATAGATGACTGAGTATATTAAGAAAACAAAAAGGCAAAATATAAGCCCCGCCCACCCACCCTACCTCGATTGTGATGATTTTTTTATTCGTCGTGAGCCAAAAGGGCGAATCTTAACTGCAAAACCCTTATTTCTCGACAAGAAATTACCAAGTAAGACATGTTTTTGGGCATCGTGTTACAAAATACTAGGCATATTAAGTCAAAATTAAAGCCATATTAAGTCATAAGATGAGCTAAAATTCGTCCGCCACTGGTCTCTGAATGTTCGCTACAAAATAACAACTGCACGAAAATGTAGATACATTCTTTCAAAGATTTTAAAGGATAACGTAGAATCATTTCCAGTGCTTCTGACGTTCGCGAGACCATTATCGAACAGATGCTCTTTTGCTTTGATAGAAAGTTAAAAACTTAATACAATGCTACTGAAAGGAAATGAAAAAATGTTCTCAAAAAATAAAACAGCACTACGATTCTCCGCTCCCATTGACAACAAAGCGCACAGACGGGCATTAACGTCGACGAACAATTAACATTTAAACAGAGAGTAAGTAGTGTTAGACACAGCTGGATTACATGTACATGTATCGCGAGAAAAAAATCAGATTTTTTTTAATTATTATTATAGGAGAACGTGTAGTATACAACGTGTTGCTCGCTCCGTGAGCTTCACCACCTCATTATATCGTTTATAAGATTCTCGCTTTGTTGTTAAGGGATCTATGATTAGATGAGCGATTTATGCATGGTAAATTTGCCCCTTTGTGGGTAGCTCTTAGCTCGTCATAAATACTCATTACAAAAGCCACCCCGGCTGATTCCGTGAACTACCAGTCTTAAAAAAACACCCCGATTCGCCGTCCAATAATCACCGAAAACTTCTTCTTGTTTCTAAGACCCAGCAATGCAAACAAATCAACTACCGCCCACCTCGCCATCATCGCCACACGCCGCCCCATCTCGCATTTAAAACATCGCCCCCCAAAGCTGTAACTCTCTTTGGCTATTTATCCGAGTTGCGCCGCGAACAGCATCGGCAGAGAGAACCTAAATCCTTCCAACCAGCTACAATTTTTCCGGCGGACGAACACGGTCGGAATCGCATCCGAAAGGGCGCGGGGTGTCTGGGGTTGGTGTATCGATTACCGAGCTCGACAAGGTGCTTGTCACGTCTGATACAAGTGAAATAGCTGTTTATGGTGGCTGCTCTGGCAGGCGCGGTCCGGATGTCAACCCTTAGAGGTTCCGGCTCGGGATGCTGCGCTCCCGCCACCCCAAATAACTTACTTTATATGCAATATGTACATGCGAACAATGCGGATGCGAGCTGCTTTGCACCACCTTGGGCGACGGGGTCGGGGCGATGGGTTAGGGGGGCGGGGGCGCTGGGACTGTTCAACGGGAAGGGGCGAGATCGCACTTAACAGCCTGTTTGAGGGTCACTAGCACTGTGTGATTAGCCCGACAGATCACTAGGCGATAAAATTTTAAGGGAGTCATTTCTGGTGGAGAAAACTACCAGTTAACATGATCAGGCTGTTCGAAAGTTTCCTATTATTATTATTATTATTATTTTCGCTTTCGCAACACATTGATGAATTTCGAAACGTGTTGTGTGCAACTGGAAACAAAGAAGTTTACGATTTTGACACAGTATTTTCCGCTCGGGTGAAAATCATTTCCAGGTTATTGTTGCCTGTTATTACATTTATAATTACACGCGAAGTTGGCGACCACTGTTCTTTTTCCGTAAAATTACACAATTATGTGATAAACTATTAACAATTAAATGCGAGACAATAGCGGTCGCTTTGTTCCAATTGTTCTAACGTAACTATCAGGGAACACTCAATATCGTCGTCACGCAATGGACTTTCAAAAATACTCACCATAACGTAGTGCCGTTGCATTTCAGTCTTTTCACTAGCTAGTTTTTCACACTCTAGTTTCAACCTGGAAAAAAAAACTTTACTTAGAACGAAGAAACTAATAATGGTTTAGTGTACAATTTTCATTTATTTATCCCTTTCAAAAACTGGATGACGTCATCTCAAAATTTTTTATCCGTAAATCTCGTTTGAAATTTAATACTCCTAATATTTTTATAATTTATCTAAGAAACTGGAAATTGGTTAAATGATGGTGCTTAAGAGGCTAGGTAATTTCTATTCAAATATTTAAACTCTTAAATTTGCCAATGTGAGAATTTTTAAATCGAAAAATATATCCATTAATTTTTTTAAAAACCACCCACTAAAAAGTAGGAAAAAAAAATTCCTTCCAGACTCTTGAAAATTGTGTAAACCATAAATTAAAATTCTCGAGTCTTAACACCTTTTAAAGGCCTGAATTTTTTGAATTTCGAAACACCAAATTCTCTGCGTAGATTCCAATCAATATTTCACCTCATCACTCATTTTTATATATAAAAAAAAAACAGAATTCGTTTTTGTTTTAGACAGTTTTTTTTAAAAATCGGCTATTTAAAAGATGATAAACCTAATTCCTAATTTTCCAGTCTTAAAAATTTTCAGGAGTCTGGAAGAAATTTTCTTTTTCATAGTTTTCATAAGTGGTCTTTAAAAACTAGACATACTGAAAGTCACGTCTACACATTTTTTTATTGGTTGCATTTAGTCCAGAAGAACTTGAAACTTTGGATTTTTTTTCATTTTGTTGTATTTTTTATTTTTGAAATTACAGGATTCCTTGAGTTCCTTGGGTTTTTTGGATTTGGATAATTTTTTTGGTTTTTCATCGTCTGATTTTTCTGAATTTTGGCACATTTATATATATTGGAGTCCTTGAGGTTTTTTGAGTTTTTTGGATTTTTGAGATTTTTTGCATTTTCTGAATATTTTCGATTTTTGCTATTATTCCTTGAGATTCCTGGCTGTTACCACAGATCGTCGGTTTCAATATTTAATAATTGGTTTCTAGCCGACTGCGTTTTCTGTTGACGTTACTACGACAACTATACTTAATGACCTAGGGCATTATTTGGTCAATAATGTACCTCAAATCCACGCCATTATAGACCAATAATAAACCGATAAGACAAAAAATGTGGGTTTTTTGGATTTCTTCGATTTTTCGAATTTTCCGATTTTTTGCCTTTTTTTTTGGACTTATTCCATTTTGTCGATTATTTGGATAATTTTTATTTTGTTTTTTTTAATCTTCTGATTTTTCGAATTTTCGGCTTATTTTTCATTTTTTGGATTTTTGAAATTATTGAACTCAGTTTTTTCTGAATATTTTCGATTTTTTTAATTACTGGACTTCTTGAGTTTCTTGCATTTCTGGGTTTTGGAATTTTGTATTTTTTGGATTTGTTTGCATTTACTCCATTTTTTCGATTATTTTCGTATATTTTTTGATAATTTATATTTTTTGCTTTTTTTCAGCTTCTGATTTGTTTGGATTTTTGGTATATATTTAGTTTTTTGGATTTTGGGAATTATTGGAGTTCTTGATTTTTTTGGGTTTCTTGGAGTTTTATATTTTTTTGAATTTATTGGATATTTTCAATTTTTCGAATTATTTAATTTCTCGAGTTTCTTACATTTCTTGAGTGTTTTGGATTTTTTTTCCGTTTTTGATTTTTGAAATTATAGGATTCCTTGATTTTCTTGGGATTTTGGATTTTTTCGGATTGTTTGGAATTTTTGGACTTTTTGTTGTTCAGATTTATTTTGTTTATTATGTTTCGATTATTTGAATAAATTTTATTTTTGTTTTTTTCATCTTGTTTTTTTGGATTATTGGCATATTTCTATTTTTTAGATTTTTGGAATTATTGGAGTTCTTTCTTCGAGTTTCTTGCGTTTCCTGGATTTTTTACATTTTTTTTTTTAATTTTGTGAATTTTCAGAATTCTGCCTGTTACCTGAGATCGTGGTTTCACTAAGTAATAGTTGGTTTCCAGCCGATTGCGTTTTCCGTTGACCTTTCTGCGGCAACTATTTTTAATGCCCTAGGGTATTATTTGGTCAATAATGTACCTCAAATCCACGCCAATATCTGACTGTAAACTGGAAAATTTCGAATATTCTGGAGTCTTAACACTTTTTAAGCAGCAAAATTTGTTGAACTTTGAAACACAATTTTCTGTTTTAAATACTCAAAATGGAAATTCAAATTTCAGATCATAAATCTTATCTTACCAAAAATCACCTCTATAATATATGATTTTCACAAAAAAAATTAAATAATCAGTTTTTATGATTTGTCAAGAAACTAATTTTTTCTTTTTTTGGAATTACATATTGGAATTCGTGAGTTTCTTGAATTTTTTGGATTTATTCGGTATTTCGGATTGTTTGATTTTTTAGATTTTTTGTTTTGTGATTTTTTCTGGATCTATTCCATTTATTCCAATACTCGGAAATTTTTTATTTTGGAATTATTGAATTTCTAGGGTTTCTTAGATTTTTCTTAATTTTTTGAATGTTTTCGATTTTTTGGATATTTTTTAGTTTTTTTTTTTTTAATTTATTCCATTTATTCTATTATTTGCATCATTTTTATTTTTGTTTTCATCTTCCAATTTTTTTATTTTTTGGTTTTTTCGAATTATTGGCGTCCTTGAGGTTTTTTGAGTCTCTTGGATTTCTTGGATTTTTTAGATTTTTTTGGATATTTTCGATTTTTTGAATGATTTGATTCTTGAGTTTCTTGTATTTCTTGTGTTTTTGGATTTTCGAATTTATTCCGTTTATTCGATTATTTGGATAATTTTTATTTTTGTTTATTTTCTTCCGATACGATTTTTTGGATTTTTGGTATTATTGGAGTCCTTGAGTTTTTCTGACTTTCCTGGGTTTCTTGGATTTTTTGAATGATTTAATTCTTGAGTTTCTTACAGTTCTTTTTTTTTAATTTTCTGCGTTTTGGAATTTTTTAATTTTGCCTGTTACCAGAGATCGTGTTAAAAAGTAATAGTTGATTTCTAGCCGACTGCGTTTTCTATTGACGTTCCTGCGCCAACTGTTCTTAATGCCCTAGGTTAATAAATACCTCAAATCCAAGCCATTATAGATCAATAATAAACCGTTTAGACATAAATACTTTTAAAATGACCCACAAACAAAAAACACGAAAAAGAAAATTCATTCGAAATTCCAGAAAAGTATCTAAACTGGGAAATTTGGAATATTTTTAAGTCTTAACACTTTTTAAGCAGAAAAAACCGAATTTTTTGATTTTTGAAACACAATTGTTTGTGTACAATTCCCACAATAATCATTTGAAATTTTTAAATATTTACATTGAAAATTTGGACATGGAAGTTCAGTTCAAATTTCAGACCATAATTCTTGTCTAGCCGAAACCTACCTGCATATCTAATTTTCACAAAAAAAATTAAAATCAAATCAGTTTATGATTCGTCTTAAGAAAATCGACTTGCTGAGCTGACTATGCTTCATAGGCGAGGAAAGTCCTAAAATTTTATTCCGTTTTTTAGGTTTGACGCATCTTAACCCGTGATGTTTAGTTTTTGAAGTAGTTTGAAAGAATCTCGGAGAACTCTTGTGTCTGGTTTTTGAAGTAGTTGTAAGGAATCTCGGGGAGCCCTTTTATTTTGTTTTTGAAGCAATTTGAAGGTGTCTCGGAAAAACATTTTGTTTTGTTATTGAAGTAGTTTGAAAGAATCTCGGGCTCGGCTTGTGTGTGGTTTTTGAAATAGTTTGAAAGAATCTCTGGAACTCTCTGCGCCTGGTTTTTGAAGTAGTTTGAAAGAATTTCGGGAGTCCATTGTGTCTGGTTTTTGAAGTAGTTTGAAAGAATCTCGGAAACCCCAAGCGTCTGGTTTTTGAATTAGTTTGAAAGAATCTTGGGAACCCCTGTTGTCTGGTTTTTGAAGTAGTTTGAACGAATTTCGGAGAACTCTTGTGTCTGGTTTTTGAAATAATTTGGAAGAATTTCGGGGAGCCCTTTTATTTTGTTTTTGAAGTAGTTGGAAGGAATCTCGGGAAGCCGTTTTATTTTGTTTTTGAAGCAATTTGAAGGTGTCTCGGGGAAACATTTTGTTTTGTTACTGAAGTAGTTTGAAAGAATCTCGGGCTCGGCTTGTATGTGGTGTTTGAAATAGTTTGAAAGAATCTCTGGAACTCTCTGTGCCTGGTTTTTGAAGTAGTTTGAAAGAATTTCGGGAGTCCATTGTGTCTGGTTTTTGAAGTAGTTTGAAAGAATCTCGGGAACCCCTGGTGTCTGGTTTTTGAAGTAGTTTGAACGAATCTTGAGGCTACCTTTTATTTTGTTTTTGAAGTAGTTTGTAAGAATCTCGGGGACACCTTGTGCCTGGATTTTGAAGCAGTTTGAAACGATCTCGGGGGCTTCCTTTGTGTTGTTTTTGAAGTAGTTTCAACTTTTCATTTGTTGTCAGATCTTATTCTAATAATAATTTTCAACCGATCTGTCTTTTATTTTAATTTTTTAATCCGATTTTACTATAGCACAAGAAAATTCCGCTCTGCAGTGCCGGTGTGACAAGCATACCACCTTCAACCAATTAATCACCTCCCCCTCCCCCCTCACCTTTTTTCAACTCCCCACTTAATACGCGAACCGCTAGACGTTTCGGCATTAAACGAGCTTTATGCATGTCGAGAGAGTCCTTAAAGTTATATATTTCTTAGATGGAAGTAATGAACAGCGCCGAGCTCATCGACTCGGTCAAGTAAGTGCAAGAACTTTAAGGAACGTACACAATCAATCTTCCGGCGTTGCTAGCAGGAGGCGTTTCTGGCGACAGATCAAATGCGCGATTCAGCACACTCGAAAATAGAGAAGTGTAAACTTGCGGAAAACTTATTATAATCAGTTTTGTGCAAGATGCGGTGGTTAATTAAAACATGCTTTGGTGGTAGAGTGGACGCAGCGGACTCCGGTGGGTTGGGTCGGGAGAGAGTACTAAGGAGCGACTAATGCAGCGGATTTGTTTACGTCGG